TATAACCAAGAGCTGACCAGGTTCTCCCATAAATACTGGAAAAATGTGTCTTTGTGCTTCTTTCAGTGAGAGGGGATAAGGACTCATTTATAAGTACATCAGTGCACTGTGAGTTAAAAAAAAAAACTTTTCCTAGAAGAAACTGTTAAATCAGAGCCCAACTTGTAAGGGTTTTATCTTAGTCTTCCAGCCCCAGGAAAAGAGATACTATCTCAATACAAACCCAACCTAACCACCCCTCTCTCGCGCGCGCACGTGTGTGTGTGTGTGTGTGTGTGTGTGTGTGTGTGCTGCAAAACACCTAGGAAGTGTACAATTCAAGATCATAGAATCCCTAAAACAGATGAGGCCTGATCATAAAGAAACTCTCCTTTTATATGCCAACATGATCACACTATACACAGTGATTCACACTCGGGGCCTCACCTCCCGGTAGAATGAAACATAAGCTGAAATGAAAGTATGGTACAATTTGGGAGATTGAAATTTTAAAAATGGAACTAATGATAATAACACAGTACAAGTCAAAAACCTCCCTTAGATGGATTAATGAGCAAGAAGGGGCCTCTGAGGAAGAAGCTCTAAAACTGATACCAGGCAGCTGAAACTCCCAAGATAAAAAGTAAAGTGAGCAAAGAGTGGGAAAGACTGAAAAGATAAAATAAATAAAAAAAGAACAAAACAAATTCAAGAATGTGACTCAAGTATAAACGGTATGGATATGTGTACTATACACATGTATGTGTGGATATGTGGAATATGATACCAGAAAAAGTAAAGCATATGAGGAATTCTGGGAAGAAATAAATATTGAGTCTCACTAAATCATTTTCAGAAAAAAGTACACCTACTCAAAGGTCAGAGTCCCCTAAATCGTATCAATGGTGAAGACCCTGCACTTGGGCATGTAAGTCTCAAACTATAGAAATCAAAGAGATTTTTCAAATCCTAAAAGAAGAGATATATAAAGAAAAATAACCTGATGTAACCAACAAAAATGGTAAGACATAGATCCGAAATATTTCAAAGATTATACAGTTACAAAATATGTGTTATAACATAATTAATGTCTTTAGGAAAAGAAAAAGCAAACATTCCTAAGAGAAAAAACACTTCTAACTTTGTACCCTGGATAATTATCCTGTAAAAGTGAAAGAAAAAGAGAACGTTCTCAAACCAAAGGGACCTTTTCACCAGCAAATGAGCTCTGTATGAATTGTTAAGTTATTTTAAAAGATCAAAAATAATGTTGGTAAGAAACTGTAAAAAACATAGAGCAGTCACAGAAAAATGATATTTTATTCTTTCTTGGGAAGAACAAAATTGTCAAATATAAAAAGGAATGGTGTCTTCAAAATAATAATAGTAACAATGCATTTGATTCCACATGCTTAAATTTGTTGAATGATGATTGTGACATAAGAGGAGGGGAAAGATTTATGATTATCTCATTATTATTATAACTCACATGACCCATGGATAAAGCTTTTAAAGGCACAACTGATATGCTAGAAAGACAAGAAACCAGTGGGGGCACTGATGAACTCAAAAGCCCAATGAAATTTAGATTATTTCATATATAGAGATAACTAAAATTACAACAGAATGTCAGCTATGTTCAATCCCACATGGACCATTTGTCAAGGAAAAGAATATTCTGACCCATTAGACATTCTTTTATTTAAGGTTATTTTTGCTGTTTTAACAGCTTTCACATTTTATTTTTTATTAGAAATTTTCTTTATTTACATTTCAAATGCTATCCCCTTTCCTGGTTTCTTCTCTGCAAACCTACTATCCTATCCCTCCTCCCCCTGATTCTATGAGTGTGCTTCCCCCCCACCTCCCCCACCCACCCCACCTCACCATGCTGGCATTCCCCTACACTAGGGAATCGAGCCTTCACAGGACTATGAGCCTCCCCTCCCATTAATGCCAGATAAGGCCATCCTCTGCTACATATGCAGCTGGAGCCATGGGTCCCTTCATGTGTACTCTTTGGTTGGTGGTTTAGTCACCAACCACTGGGATCTCTGGGGGGGGTCTGTTTGGTTGATATTGTTGTTCTTCTTATTGAGTTACAAACGCCTTCAGCTCCTTCAATTCTTTCTCTAACTCCTCCATTGGAGTCCCTATGCTCAGTCCAATGGGTGGCTGCAAGCATTCGCATCTGTATTTGTCAGGATCTGGCAGATCCTCTCAGGAGACAGCTATACCAGGCTGCTGTCAGCAAGCACATTTTGGCATCAGCAATAGTGTCAAGGTTTGGTGTCTGGATATGGGATGGATCCCCATGTAGGGCAGTCTCTGGATGGCCTTTTCTTCAGTCTCTGTTCCAGTCTTTATCCCCATATTTCCTTTAGATAGGAGAAGTTCTGAGCTAAAATTGTGAGAAGGGTAGGTGGCCCCATCCCTCAACAGGGGACCATGCCTTACCTCTGGATATGGTCTCTACAGATTGTCTCTCCCCCTTTTTTGGTATTTCAGCTAATGTCATCCCCATTGGGTCCTGGAAGCCTCTAGCTTTCCTGGCATCTGGAACTTTCTGGTGGCTACCCCCAGCTCCCCATCCCCTTTGCTACATACTTCTCTTCAATTTCCTGACCTTCTGTACATCTCTCCTGTCTCCTCCCATACCTGATCCTGGCCCCCTTCTTCCTTTCTCCCTCCTCTCTTCCTCCCAAGTGCCTCTATCTCCCATGATTATTTTCTTTCCTCTTCAGATTTACAACAAACTTACAACAATCAAGATGGCATGGTAAGAGTGAAGAAATACCCGAAATCAATGAGCAGGAACAGAGAGTCAGAGTTATTTACACATGGTCTTTGCCAAAGAAGCTAGGGTAGCATAACATGGCAAAGACAGAGAATTTCAAAAGATCAAGTTGGAAGATTAGGAGAGCTGCATGTTCAAGAAAACAAACCCAGCCACTGGCCTTACTCCTTTCAAAGATGAACTAAAATGGATGCATAAATGTAAAACAAAAAGTTTAAAAATATTACCCTAAAATACCATGTAAGAGAAAACTCAGATGGTCTTGTGTATATCATGGCGTTGAAGATGAACATCAAAGTCACGAAGCACCCAATAATTGATAAGATGGACTTTGTTAAATTCCAATCTCTCTGCTTTGAAAGAGACATCGTCAAGAGAATGAAGAGTGAAATAGACATGGAGGATATATCTGTAGAAGGCATAAGAACCGTTATTTAAAATATATAAATATCTCAGAAACAATAAACAGTAAGAAGCAAGCACCTGGTTTTAAGAGCAGGGCAAAAACACTTTGATACCTAATCTAACACAATATAAAACTGGCCAATAACCATATTCACCACATAATGTGTCATCTGGGAAATGTGCATTCAAATGAGATAGAATGGTAGAATGACCAACATCCAGAGCTTAACCAGATGCTGGGGAGGATGTAAAGTAAGAGAAGCTGTTTTTCATTGCTGGTGAGAATGCAAATATGCAATGGATAGAGAGACAGCTTAGGGACTAAAGGCATTTTATGATCTTTCAGTGGACCCAGTTTCAATTACCAGCACTCTCACATCAGCTCACAAAGACATGTAACTCCAGCTCCATGGAAATTTGATGCTCACTTCTGTTTTCCATGGTCATGAGGCTCTCACATAATACACACAGATATATCTAGGCAAGCATTTATATACATAACTTAAAAAAAACTCTTTTAAAAACAGAATGAGTTATCAAGTGATGAAATGACATAGAGACCATTTGAATATATATTCTTAACTGAAAAATAATCCAACCTGTAAACAAAGCACACCAAGTCTCTATGCTAAAGACTCTAACTATATGATGTTGTCAAGTGGAAAACTAGAGATGCCAATGGTGGGCACTGAGGTGGAGGGAGAGGTGAATAAGTAAATCACAGATGGTTGTGGAGAAACACAACTCTTTTGTTTCATACATTGTTCAAATCCAAGAAAGATCCTTAATATAAATTTTGTGTTCTGAATGATAACGACCAACTTATAAATACAGCATCTATACCAAATGCATTATGTGTATAAAGAAGAAGGTTGTACAGGAAGGAAGGTAGGAACAGGGAACACATGAGAAGTCTCTTCACATCCCTCTGAATTTCCCTGCAAACCTGAAATGCATAAAAGTTGGGTTTAGGGCCTACATGATGGCTCAGCAGAAGGAGGGCCTTGCTGACTGACAACTGACTGACTTCAATTGGAATCCACATGGTAGGTGAAAAGAGGGAAGTGACTCCTGCAAGTTGTCCTCAGAACTCTACAGAATGCACTGTGATGTGCACCTAAATACATACATTCATACATACATACATACATACATACATACATACATGTGTATTTTTACCTTAACATTGTTTTCTAAAAAGCAGTAAGAGAGAACATCAATGCAATTGGTGATCCTTCCACTTAATTTTTCAGAGTCTTAAATCTTGACACAGAGGTCGTCAATGGGTTCTAGGAGTAGGATCTACTTTAAGCATTCCAGTAATTGATATTTCCAGTTTCTTACACTAAGGTACAGCAGCCTCATCACCTTACCTAAGACAACTTGTGTTTGCAGACATCATGCAGTTGTAGTTGTTGATGGGGATTCTTCCCATGCCATCCAACTTTGTTTCCCACCCTGATAATTAGGTACTCAGCTCATGTTTGACCAACGTGAATTCTCAACCTCAGAGAGGTCAAATAATGTCCTTGCTATACAGCACATTGCTAGAAATGCCAATAGGAGCAAAAGGAAATCAATGGCACTTTAGAGATTTTTTAAGTAGAAGAAAACGCGCCTGCAAATGTGTACTCTTTCCCAAAGTCTTCTTTCTTTCTATACATTTATTTACATTTCTCCCAGATAAGGAACTGACTTTGGGAAGCAGGTGTTATTCACATCTGTGTGTTCTTGGCTTCATTATATACTAGGATTGCACATCCAGTTCTGGAGCATCAGAATCTCAATCAAATGTGATAGTGAAGAGAAAGAGCCAAACCTTTGTGCTATTGCCAAACCACCAGAAGTAGGTAAGGGTCCCGAGCTGACTGGGCCACACCACTGCACTGATGTTAACATCCTTATTTCTTATGGCAACGAATGGAACCCGAAGGTGAACATGTTCCACTGGACCTAAAGGGACAGGATGGAAGACAGCGTTTATGTTCCTAGAACAGAGCATCAACTTTTCCACAGCTGCTTCTTTCAATCTCTATCTTTATTATCATTCCAGTTAAAAACAAAAGCCCAAATCTGAAAATGCTAGGCAGTAAGTGTGTGTGTGTGTGTGTGTGTGTGTGTGTGTGTGTGTGTGTGTGTGTGTGTTTTCTTTAATTGTAGCAGAAGGTGTAACAGGAAATTCAAATCAAGTTTCTGACTTCTCAGTGACAGGTGAACTGAATTTACATCTGGTAGCCCACCTACCATGAATACTTATGAAACCTCCAGGCCAAGAACAAAGGGAGTTTACTAGACACATAGCTGTTAAATAGGACAATAAACAGCAGTCCGATTTATTTCTGAGAAGTATTCCATTTTGTGACTTGAGGTCAAAGAATTATATGGAAGGTTCTTCCATTATCCTCAGTTGCTAATTGGTTTCCATTTGCTTTCACAATTGGCCATTGTGCCACATCATCAGGAGGACATAGTGAGTGCCATTCAGAGGCTTTGCAAGGCCACTTGACAAAGAGGGAAAAACATAGCTACCTAAACATCAGGTTCAAAGTGATAGTAAGACAGCTTTTCCCCTTTCCTCAGAAAAATGTAAACATCATTTTGCACTCTACACTACGCCATCCACTAAAAGAACAACCATGAACACAGCCGAGGTGACCATGAGACCACTCACTTCATCCAAAATAAAAAGAGGAGAAGGAAATGCTGGCTAAGAATCATTGTATATTAATTTCACATCTGGAAGATTCTGTTAGTTTATAAGACTTGCAGATATTCTCTTCCTGTTGTTTGTGACATGTATGTGCCCAGATGACAGTACCTTATGAGAGTTAAGCTAAGCATAGAGTGATGGATGTTACACACATGTGGGACCAAAAATCTTGAGTTCACAAAAAGCAAGCAATAGAATATTGGTTTCCAGAGGATGCCAGAGGTGGGTGGGATAGACATAGGTAGGTCAAAGGATCTGGAATTTTAGTAAGGTAAGAAGAATAATACATTCAAGAGGTCTAATGTATTATGATGAAAATCATAGTTAATTACCTGTACTACATTTGGAAAAGTCTTTAAAAACTAAAGAGTTCTCACCGTTAAAAAAAAGTAAGTTTGAGATGTAATATTTATGATAATCAGCCTGATGGAGCAATCACCAAATTTATGCATGTAGCTTAAAAATGTCATGCTGTACATGATTAACATATGAGTCCTGTCAGTTAAAAAATATAATGAAGAAAAAATTGGAAGCATCCATTCATCTATAGTTTTAAAATACTTTCTGCCTCCAGCTCTCTGCCCTGATGACAGACATGTGGAAAATCAAGATTCTTTACCAGCACATACTTTTAAGGTTGGCACGTCATATGTACACGTGGCTGACACTTTAATTATTTTAAACGAGCAAATCTGTAGTTTACATGTTCTACCTGGCGTCAGCCACAAAAACACAAGGTGTGAGAAAACATTGACAAGCTCTTCAAGGCTCTATTTACTCATATTCAAGGGTTAAGTTAATGAAAATCTCACAATGACTTGTGTTCCTCTGGTCAGGGATGTAGAGCACACTAGAAATGGGCTAGCCTGGAGTGTTAGGAGAAATGTGAGTGCCTGTATCAACACTGAAGAATCTACTGCCTGGGTCCAGGTCTCCCATTTTTTACACGCTGTGAAGATAGTTCTTTCAAGCTGGAAGCCTATTTGTACTCCATTCCCCAGATGGAAGGAAACTCCTTCCCTAAACTGCCTCATGTGAACCTTCAGCATTTCACAGTTGAGCCAAAATGTACATGACTATAAGCCTAGAAATCCTTTCCCACTTCCTGCCACTTGCAGGTCTTGGAGGATTCTCTGAGACCCAAGGCAACAAAACTTCCCTCTTCTCAAGATTATGCCAGACATAAAATGGATGGAGTTATGTGAACTGGTTAATGTGGTCGTGTTTATTCCAGTTTCAGGCCAATCAGGTTTGGCTAAAACTAATTCAAAGAAACAATACCTATGAGCCGATTTTAGAACAAAGATCCTGAGCCAGTTCCAAGCTCTAACACTGGGATAGATTGTGGAACAATGAGAAGAGAACTGAGTGAATCAAATGGAACATGGCAAACTCTGAAATCCTTCCTGTCACACAGTACCCCTTTTGATAGAAGCCCAATAATCTGTGTGAAATTGGTTATTATGGGTGGCTAACAACTACTTTTGTTAGTTAATGGCCCAAGGTGAGGCCAAGAGCAGTTTCCACTGTACTAACTGTCTGGTAAATGCAGCCATGATTGATTTGTAGGGAATTATGAGCACAATAAAAGTTTCAAGGAACATTTCCTCTTTTGTGCACAAAACCAAGAGTATAAAGTGTAAACCCATCCCTGCTCTCTCTCTCTCTCTCTCTCTCTCTCTCTCTCTCTCTCTCTCTCTCGTGTGTGTGTGTGCATCCATGTATGTTTTATGTATGTGCTTGTATGTCTATGCATGTGACATGTAGTTATGTGTGCACATGTGAATGAAACCTAGAGTTTTGACATCAGGTATGTTCTTTGATTTTTCTTTCTTTGAGACAGGATCATTCCCTGAATTTGTCACTCACTAATTTGGCTAGGCTGACTTGCCAAACAGTTTCCTAGGTCTACCAGTCTCCATGTGGCCCCTCCCTCAGTGTTAAGATTACTGATGTATACTATAGCCATGGGCATTATAAGGGTTCTGGGAATGCCAACTCAGGTCCTAATGTCTGTCCAGCAGACATCTTGCTGACAGGCTCACCTCTCTAACTCATGTCTTTTCATTTGCTGGGTTTGCTTTGGTTATCTTCTCTAAAAGAGACAATAGGCTAGGACGAGGTCATGTGCTAACCTCGATGCATCATCCTAGTGGCTCACCATACCTAGGGGTGCTCTCTGGTGCCCCTAGCGTGTCCACCATCCAGTTTGATTCCCATAGCTTCCTTGTAATCTAAGAGATGAGGAGTTCAATTTTTATATGGTCTAAGGAGATTGGACAATATTAGATATTCAAAAGGGTTATGATCAAAGTCTGAACACTCCAAAGTCTGGTCCCATGAATAAGATGCATACCGCTCATATGGGCTCCTAATCCAGTGTTGCTGGCAGAGACAGACTGCAGTGGTTCTGCATGGATCTTCAACACTCTGTCTGTTTGTGACTCATCTCTTAAAGTAGCTCTCCTTTTTCAATAGAATGAAAATAACACAAGGGCAGGATGGCATTTTCATTGATGACTGTCTAAGTGCCTGGTAGAGTCCCTCACACACATTAAGAACTCTATAAATATTTTCTGAATGACTTAGTGAGTGGTTGGGTGTTTCCTGCTTAGTTCATTTTTATTGGTACCAGAACCCTGTGAGGCCAGGTAGTACTTAGACTTAAGCCATTTTAAAACTGGAATTAGTCCGGAGGTTATGTGTTATAGAGTGGCATGGTAGGGACATCATTTATCCATAGTCCAAGTTTCTTCCTATACATTTGTATTATCTACCGCTTTGTTCTTATTACTAGAAGACAAAATATCTCACTGTTTGCCAGGGCTCCTTAAGAAGGTACTATTTACATGCAAGATTTTACACAGTCACTAAGTTATTAACAGGAATGGAATTTTTCTTATTCACCTCAACTCTTTCATAACATGTAACTTTCCTTTTATGTGACATATTACTAGAAAGACATTGTGGGCTATGCAGCAGTCCCTGCTGATCCATTTGCACGTGGTAAAATTTCAGTTACTCATAGCCAATTATTGGCTGAAATTATTAAATGGAAAATCTAAAAGTAAACAAAAAATCCTAAGTTTTCAACAGAATATTGTTCTGATTATTATGACTATGTGTTGTGCTGTGGCTTGCCTAACCATGACATGAGTCATGTGTTCATTCAGTTTATCTGTGAGATATATATATATATATATATATATATATATATATATATATATATGCAAATTAGGACTAGAGAATAAATGCCATATTCAGGGATTGGTACAACTTGAGGTTTTAAGAATCCTTTGGATCTTGAAATACTTTTCTCATGTATAAGGGAAAGACTTCTGCTAAAATAAAAACTATGGATGCCTTGAAACCCATAGATGTTGTTGATGAGGTGTGTTGAGTCAGTGTCTGCCCACAACACCCGCTTTGCCCATAATCCAGAAACAGTAGTGCTTATGTTTCGGTTAACACGATTCAAGTCTCAGAATGGGTGAAACACAAACAGCATCCAGCGTAAACATAACGGCCTGGAAACTTAGCGGCTCTTCATGCCAAGCAGCAGTCAGTATCATTGAAACTGAGTATATCACAACCCCCAATTGTTATTTATAATATCACGAACTTGAAATAACCTTGGGCATATGAAGATTTTATTTTTTTAAACATATACAATTCTTGAAAGCAACTGAAACATGTGCTTTTTAAATCTTCCTTGGGCTCTACCAACCGAGCCAAACATTTAGTTCGATTTATGCATTTTTCACTCAAGAATGAACCTAGGACCATCAACTAGATGGCTTCCATTTTTATTTATTTTTCAGTAATCTCTAAAGCAAAGGAAAAAAGACATTTTATCTACATCCAAATCTGCATGTGCGTACTTATATGCACCGACTTTTCAGAATGGAGTTACAAAGTGAAGAGCTTTGGTAATGTTACCTATACCTTTAAAATGAGTAATCTATTTCTGCATGGTGAAATTGAACTATAATTGAACATGCATTTCAGCATTTTGATGTAGATGATTTTAGGAGCCACAGTGAAACTGGCTTCAGCTCTGAACTCTAGAAAGTGAAGTCTGGCTAGATGGAGTTGTCGACTGGAAAAAAGAGGTGAGAGGGGGCTGGTCATCGCTACTTACAAACCACGTGCAGGAAGAGGAAAGCTGTGTCCGAGCCAAGGTTGTTCTCTGCATAGGCTGTCACCTGGAAGATCCCCGCACTCTTATACACATGCCTGATGCCATCCTCAATGGGGCTAAAGTTGGCATAGGACACAGCAACCCCATCCCCAAAGTCAAGCTGGATGTTTGTCCTTTGGAGGTCACCCTGCAAAAGAACAGAAATTGGTCTGGTCCCCTTCACAAGCTTCTGATAGACTTTTATCTGATACTAATTCTTAAAGTATCAACATTATCCTGAAAATTTGCAGTGCTGTCTCCGCCACAAGATAATTTCTATGACGAGGTGTGGGCAAGGGCTGGGGACCTGCAGGCCCAATTTTGGGACTGCTTCATTTGATATTACTCTGACAATAATGATAAAGAAGAGTCTATTCAATATTTTGAAATAGGAAGACCACACACGCTGATCCCTCACAACCATGGCTTAACTCTTCTGTGGCATAATTACAGCAATAAAGTAAAGTCATTACTTTATTGTTACATAGTTTAAGCAAGCCAAACAGTTAATCCCTTCAACTTTATACTGTAGAAAGCTTTGAGTGATATATCCATTTCTCTGGACACATGTGTGTGTATGAACATCCAGAGAAATGAAGATTTTAGTAATAGAAAGTATTACTTTCAACAAAGGGGAGAGAGAAACTGTAGAGACCATATCTTGAGGTTAGGCACAGCCCCTGGTTGGAGGATGGGGCCACCCACCCATCTCAAAAATATTAACCCAGAATTGTTCCTGTTTAAAGGAAATACAAGGACAAAGAGGAGAGCAGAAACTGAAGGAAAGGCCATACAGAAACTGCCCCACCTAGGAATCCATCCTATCTGCAGACACCAAACCCAGATGTGATTGCTGACCTCAAGAAATGCTTGCTGACAGAAGCCTGGTATAGCTGTCACCTGAGAGGCTCTGACAGAGCCTTACAGATACAGAAGTGAATATTTGCAGCCAACAATAGGACTGAGCACAAAGACCCCAATGGAGGAGTTAGGGGAAGGACTGAAGTAGCTGATAGGTTTGCAACCTCATAGGAAGAACAATATCAACAAACCATACCCCACCCCACCAGAGCCCCCAGGGACTAATCCACCAACCAAAGAGTACACATAGAGGGACCCATGGCTCCAGTTGCATATGTAGCAGAGGATAATCTTATCTGGCATCAATGGAAGGGGAGGCCCTTGATCCTGAGGAGGCTCGATGCCCCAGTAGGGCAGTGAGGCGGCTCTGGGTGGTGGAGCACCCTCATAGAGGCAGGGGGAGGGGAGATGTGATAGGGAGTTTTCAAAGGGAAACTGGGAAGGGGGATTACATTTGAAGTGTAAATAAATAAATCAATAAAAAAGTATTACTTCCTATTTATAGTAATAGAAAGTGTTACACATGGCTAGCAGCAAGAGAACCAAGTTTTGAATATACACAGCCTACTTTCAACACTAATTCCATTAATTACCAGGCCATAAATTTCATTATATTTTTGGATATCTGTTATTAAATTTAAGCAATGTATTAGTCACTTAACATGTATTAAACACCATCTTCAAAATAACTATAGGAGATCGATCATTATTTCCATTCTACAGATGAATACTGCATGCTATCTAAAATTACTTTCTTGTTCTTTCCTGAAGCAAGGCCCTCTCTCAGTGATTCAGCTCACAGATATCTCTGCCCTTGGAAATCCAAGCACACCTCTGATACTCCCTCTAACATGATATGCAGTGGTTCAGCTGAACACACTACTACCTCAAGCTCACGGTTTGCCTCTCAAAGTTAAGCCCCATGCTTATTACACACCCCCAAAACTGCATCAACATTTTGGGTAAATGTATAAAGCAGATCATAAAATAAAGATCCAGAATGAAGAAGGTTAAAAAACATGTCTGTTTATGGATATGTGGCAAACAGACAGTGGGCTGAACTTTCTGAAACTGTGACCCAATAAAATCTTTTCTAGAAACAAGACATCTGACTAATGTACAAATCAAAGATTGTGCCCCAAAATTGTGCGCTGGGCACAGCTTCTTCTTTCACCACTCCCACCATGGCAATGTAGAGATGTGAATGAAATACTGATGGATGCTCTCTTGACCCTCTCCGGATGTCAACTACCCTGGAGTATACAAATGTAAATGAAAGTGGAAATGAACTGCAGGCAATTGAAATGGATAAGATCATAGCTCTTCATATCCATTTGAGAAAGTTTTTATAGCTGTGGTCCTGAAAACCCTCTAGTGGAAATGTGATAATGACCTCTTCTGTGAATCTTAAAGTCCTCTAATTCAAGCGTCAATGTGAGGGAAGGCTGAGATATCTGCCAGGTCAGGATAAGAAACTTGCATCTTTCCTCACAGTGTGGTTTGGACTTTAAAGGCTCTGAGGTGTTCAGACTAGTGGGAAAAAAAAAAAAAACTCCTGGCTTGTTTTGCTCCCTTTCCAAGATCTCAAGAGCCCAGAGCAATTTGCATATAAATTTAGAGGGTATTGTCAATCAGGCAACCCTTCCAGTTCTACCAGTCCAGCAAAGTGTGCTAGGAAAGTCCCTGGTTTGGGCAGAAGGAACATCTCACACAGGGAGCAAGAAACAGATGAGTGGACCAGAGTGATAGCATACACTCAAATTTGACTGCCTGGATGGCAAGGGACACTAAGGGACGAGTTAATGAAGTTGGTTGCTGATGAAGAAGCAACCCATGTTGTCTGTGTTCTGTATAAAGTTAACTTTAAAAATTATTTTGGTCATCTTCTCCATCCTCACATTCATAGGTTCAAGACTCTTAAAAGCCTTGTGGTCTTTTCTAATTAGTGAGGTTAAGGGTTGGAATAAAGCAAGAAAGGCTCTGAAAATTAACAGCTATGATTTGAATGTCCTCTCCATCACTCACAGTTTACAGGTTATATCCTTATGTCAATAAATATTTCCAAAGCAGAAACTAAGGAGAACCCTTAAGAATATATCCAGGTAGGTCATAATGACACAATTGATAATCCCAGTACTAAAGACATAGAAGCAAGTGGAACACAAGTTTGAATGCAGTGTGGGCTGCACTGTGATTTCAAGTCCTAAGTGCGTCCCTGTGTCAAAAGAGGCAAGGTGAGACTGTCAAAAAAAAAGAAAGAAAGAAAGAAAGAGAGAGAGAGAGAGAGAGAGAGAGAGAGAGAGAGAGAGAGAAGGAAGGAAAGAAAGAAAGAAAAAGAAAAAAGAAAGGAAAAGGAAAAGGAAAAGGAAAGAAAAAAACTTGGTCTGGGCCTCTAGCTCAGAGCCAAGGTTCTGAGTTCAAGACCAAACATAAAGGATATGGAAGGGAGGGAGGGGAGAAAGAGGGATAGAGAAAAGAAAAAAGAGAGAGGAATGAAGGAAGAACGAGTGAGCAAGCAAGCAAGCTCTTTCAGATGCGCTGTGGGCTGGGTCTTCCTTACAGGTGACTGGAGAGGTTTCTGTGTGTTACTCTCTCACCTTCTCTTCTCACTCATGACATCAGTGTGATAGCTGGGCAGCTCCTGAGAATGTTAGATTTCTGTTTCCTTCTTTTACTGAGATCAAGGAATTGTCAGCATGTGGTTCTGACTGCAGACACCAACGTGGTCACCTACCTCCTCCATTAGAACGATGAAGGTTGCATTATGGCCCTGTTCTGCCACCAGGCGCCCGTCAGTGGTCACCACATGGAGGCCCCGAGGAGCTTTTCCAGGACACAATTGAGTCTTAGCAGAATACTTATCTCTTAACCCATCTGTGCAGTTGTTTGATACAATCCTCCGATACCTAAAGAGATTTGACAAAAAAAAAAAAAAAAAAAACAGTTTTGACAATGGTGTAGCTTCTAGGGTGCGTGTGTGTTTTTGTATGTATGTATGTGTATATGTACATATGTGTGTGTGTGTGTGTGTGTGTATGAGCATGCTTAAATGTGTGTGTATTTACATGTATGCATGGGTGTGTATGTATGTGTGTATATACGTGTATATGTATGCTGGGAGCTTCCTGGCCCTGAGAGGGTAGTGGGAGGGGCACAGAGTAGGACTCTGGTAGTGGCTTTAAGGTCTGAGGGTCTCTGGGTTTTCTGGCTCTCTGACCTGTACTAAAATGCTGATGATAACTTTTAAAAAGTCCTAAAAAACTTCTGAGGGTAAAAGACTGCAGGCTTAGGTGATTAATACCTGTAGCCTAACAGCAGAGGATTAGGCAATGTGGCCTTTGTTCTGTCTCAGCAGGAACTGCTGGGCTCTAACTTATCCCTGGTAGTCTGAGGTTGCAGGAAGAAAAGACACTTGGAGAAGTTATTATAGAGTTTACTACTAAGTGTAAAAAGTTTCCTATGAAACCTATCTAAGGGGAAAAGCAGAAAGGTCCTAAGTGGGGAAAAGGAAAAAATTCTAATAAAGGAAAAATTCTAAGGGAAAAAATTCTAGGCAGGGGAAAAGGAGGAGAGGAACGACTCTCTCCTTGTCTTCAGTACTTATATGTCTTTCAGAATACATGATCACATATTACAAAGTTCATCACAAGATCACACCAAAAATCAACTCATAAATTGAAATAGAAGTTTACAACAGAGAATGTTTACATGCATATCCATTAGGAGTAATTATCTGGGTAAACATCCATCACCTGTCTAGCTCCACAGGTTCACTGAAGGTTTAAAACTATAACTAAGAAATTGGTGATGTTTTGTATAAATAAACCCAGGCAATATTTTATCTTCTGTCCCAGCACCTATAATAAATCATGAGTTCCCTATTAGTGACCTTTGGTTAATTGTTTTACAACCTCTTGGAATGTGCTCTGAGTAGGAGAAAGTCTGGTTACTATCTAAGAGCAATTAACTGATGACATTTTGGAGACCGGTAGAGTTCTCATTGCAGCTTTGACTATCAGAAAGGAACCTAATAGCAATCCCACTATAAAAGAGCTAAATAATAATCATTGATATAATTTTAGGAATTCTTATAGGATCATCATTAAGACTTAAGAAGTCATCTATTTGTCTATATAGTGTCACCACAAGACAGTACATCTTCATGGATCTGCAGAGATCTGCTCCAAAGAGGTGTGCTATAGCTTAGTGATTGTTACATATACTTAATAATAATAATAATAATAATAATAATAATAATAATATAGGAAAAGCACATTAATAGCAGGAATCTTTCCTAAAATAAGATCCTTATAGCCTTGCTAAATAAGGACTTACTTGTCGCAGACTATATAATAATCCAAAGCAAGCCATTTTAGGATGATCACCTCCTAATTATTAGCTTGTTCCATTATGGCTCCTGACATATGTATGTGTATATGTATATACATATGTATATACATGTGCATGTGTGTGTTTATGCTATCTATATGTGTGTTTATGTGTGTGTGTATATATATGTGTATATATATGTGTCTATATGTATGTGTGTATGTATCTGTGTATGGGCATGCATGTGTGTATATCAATGTGTATGCATAGATGTGTATATGTATGTATATGTGTATGTATGTTGTATGTTTATATGTATGTATGTGTACATGTATGTGCACATGAGTGCATGTATGTATGTGTGTTTCTGTGTGTATGTGTATTCACATGTGTATATGTATATGTGTATATATATGTATGTATGTATATGTATTTGTGTGTATGTGTGTGTTTATGCATGTGTGTGTGTGTGAATGTGTATTGGAATGCTATTTGTGTATGTGTGTATATTCATGGGTATATATATATATATATATATATATATATATATATATATATATACATATGCATGTGTCTGTGTGTATGTGTGTGTGCATGTGTGTATGTGCTCGAGTGTGTTTGTGTGTGTTTGTTAGGAAGAGGGCAAGAGAAAAGTAGCAAGAAAAAATACTTTTCACAGTTGCTCATAAAAGGCAAGTCTCCGAAACTCCAGCTACTCCCAAAGACAAACAATGCTCGGGAGCTGCACTCCCCACATCTCGGGAAGGCTGGCTCCTTAAACATTATTATTGATCCCACCTGGTACACCAGGGATCTGATCAGTGTCTAAACCAGCCCAGAAAAATCAATGTCTGACTCACACACAACAGAGGAGGAGGCAAGCACTAGACTAGAGAAGCAAGAAAATCGAGCAAGTACACCTATGTCTGTCAGCAAGGGTCTGCTCTATTTCCCCAAGGCTGCCTCCAACTTTCTCTGTACCAGGAAGCAGTTAGAACATCAAAATTTTAACTCCTCCTAATCAGACAGTTTCTCCCTATCTTCTCTCCATACCGGGATGTCATTAATAGAATTTCTGGTAAAAATAAAAATAAAACTCATAACTTTTACCCTGGAGTCACTGGGCTATTTTATAACATATTTTCTCTGTTTTCTAAAACATTATTTCCTCAACACAAATATCACATTAGGCACATTTTTAAACTCCTACTCAACTCTGCTAAAGTAAAACAATCTTACTAAAGGGGTTTTCCTGGGAAACTTCCTTGCTAAACACTAGCAACTTCTATGGTAATGGCATTAAATGTGTGGCAATGCCCCAGCAATCGCATTGAACTCCAACCCAAGTGCTTGCCTTGACCTCTGACCTGCCACACAGTTATGACTTCCAGAAAGTCCATGGTCTATGCATCATCACTAAAATTGATGTTCTAAGAAGACCACATAAAAATATCCCATTATTACCGCTCTCTGTATTACCACCACTACCACCATCACCAAGTCTTGATTTCCTTTACCCTCTGCATCAAGAATAATCAACTGATCCATGGTATCTTATTGTGAAAAACCCAAAGCCACAAAAGTCTAGATGACATCAGTCCTCCATTATATCCGAATTTTCTTTCTTAACAATGCCCCACAACTGGATCACACCCACCCTCTATTCCTTCTTCTGAGATCACATGATGATGCAAATCAAATGTTGTAGACAGCTCCTGGCTCAAATGAAATTATAATTTATCATTATCAACTGTCTATTGAAATATGTCCGTATCATTGCTATCCAGTACGGCAGGCTATCTTCTCATCCGGCTATCAAGGCTTGAGATGTTGTTAATGTAACATAATGAAATGACAATAATTATGTTATATCACATTAAACAAAGTACAATATTAAAATTATTTTCACCTTTTAATTGGTTTAACATGAGAAATTAATTATACACATTACATTACACTTATACACATTATAGACATATACTGCAGCCCTTTTGATCATCTCTGATTTAATTAAATCAAATTATTTTGCGTTAATCTTTATGGGCTATTTCTACTTACAAGATAGTTTTTAGTCAGAATTAGCATGTTAGAACTATTGTATCAAAAGGCAAACTATGTCAACCACTTTCTTTTTATAGGGCTACCAAGAAAACTCTGTTGGTAACATAAAATATAGGTGAAAGTTGGGAAATCTAGAGGTGCCTATAGATATCTATAGGAAATTCTTCAAAGAAAACAGTGAAATAGAATTTTTTTATCTTTTACTGACTTAGCTATTTGCTGTTTGCATACCTATGTTGCTTAAAAGTAGATCTAGATATCATGCACTTATGTGATATGTCCTAAAAGAATTCATTTCTAATGGATTTCAAATGATGTGGTGGCTAGAAGCTGCCTTTTGCAGATGATTGCATTTGACCATTATGTTTTCTTCCTTGTTCTCTTACAGTCCATCTCCTTACATCCAAACTGTTCAATTGGCACTAAATTGTTTAAATCGTTAAACCATATTCCTACAAAAGCACTACAATAAATCACTCAAATACCTAGCCTAGCATCTAGGAATAGCCCCCTCCCTCAAATCAAATATTTACCTAAAAAAAGCAATAGTTTTAGAGTATTTCAGACTACTCAACACACACATCCATGTTTAAGATTCCTTAGCAGATGGCAGACAATTACATAGTCTACATTGAGTAGTCTACACACTACTCTCTACAAGCATATAGAGTCAAAGTAATGTAATCAGGACAACTTGGTTAATATGATAGAACAAACACAGGGGAGACATGAGAGTGGAGCCCAGAGTACTCAGGGTCTTGCTTCTCTGAAAGTTGTCTGGAACACCTACAACCTCTCCAGCCCCTGTGGGAAATTGTTACAAATGAAGAAATTAGCTTCACTCCAGATGTTCCAAATAAAAAGGAGACCCACAGAACCTTAGGTAACCATAAGACCAATCAAAACATGTGAAAGGTGTCATAGTCCCACCTGCTCACTCTACAGATCTCTCCTGGGTCATAGACGCAGTAAAGAAAATGATGATTATGTGATTTTTGTCCTTGAGTTTGTTTATATAGTAGATTACGTTGATGGACTTCTATATATTGAACCATCTCTGCATTTCTAGGATAAAGCCTAATTAATCATGGTGAATTATTGTTTTGATGTGTTATCTTTTTTGTTGGGTCGTTGTGTGGCTTAGGTATCAGAGTAACTGTGGCTTCATTGTAGAAATTAGGTGGTGTTCCTTCCATTTCTATTTTGTGGAATAGTTTGAGAAGTATTGGAATTAGGTCTTCTTTTAAGGTCTGATACATTTACACAATGGAATACAGCTCAGCTATTAAAAATGATGATTTCTCTGAGGTAGTGTCTGTCTTTGTCACTGAGGTGTGTTTTCTGTATGCAGCAAAAGGCTGGGATTATAGAGGGGAGACCAAATAGGGGGACAACATTTGAAATGTAAATAAATAAAATAATCAATTTTAAAAGAATGAAATAACCCATCTCCAGGAAAACCTCTGTCAAGTGTCTGAGGGTAATCAGGTGGGTAGTGAAAGATAACACTAGACAATTACTGAAAGTGTTTTAAGTGTCCTTAGCTTCTTCCAGAAGTGGCTAGAATGTGGCTTGTGCATTTTATTGATGTGTCAAGTGTTAGTGTTTGACAATGTGCATTAATCTTCCCCTAGTGAGTGCTGTAATATCTATACCCTACAGTTGAAGCCAAAAAAGTAAGGCAGGCAATGGAGGTTTTAACAAAACAACAACTATAATTTTCTAGAGATCAATTGTAAATGGTATTTTTGGTGGATGATTTCTTCTGATATTTTCTAAACAAGCTATCATCGGCTAAATATTTCCTCAGTTTCCATCAAAAGCCTCTTGATACAAACTTACCCAATCTATACTCATCCTTTTCAATGAGGGTACACTTCCTTTCATTTCAGCATTGTGAATGGACAACAATGAGTTGTGAACGGACAATAGTGAATGGGGTTCTTTAATGCATTGGGCTTACCCAGTGCTGTTAAGGTAGCTTTGACCAAGGCTGCAGTCCTTTGAAGGGGAAGCTGGGTTGTACCAGAAAGCTGGGACACACTGGCTCTCTCCATGTCTCTCATAGCCATAGTCACTATCAAGAAAATAAACATGGTAGAATGATGTGTGTTAAGAAATGTTAAAACACCCAAAGGCATCCATAAATATACACAGGTCCCACTTACTCCCCAAAGTCATAACTCATTGTTTTAATTAGCCCCAGTGAAGCAAATACCTCTGTCTTTATTTAAAAAAAATAAATACGCTTTTAGGAATGGTCTCATCATTTAGAATTACAGTCTAGAGAGAAAATCAGATTATCAAAAAAAATTCAGACTAGAAAGTACATGAATTCAAATACATGGCAGCTGCAATGGCTCAGAGATGAGCACTGGGGGGAGGGAGACACTATACATTTAAAAATCATACTTTGAATCACAAAATTAATTAAATAAGTAAATGGCAACCAGGAAGATGTCTTTAAAGGTCACAATACATTTCTATGTAATGATTCAATATGTACTGTCTGAAAATTGATTTCACAGAATTTATATTCATTTTTACTTTAAAGTGAACTGCTTTCAAGCTTGTGTGTGTTTATATTCACATGCATGCCCACAGGAATTCAGACTTCTTTTGTTAAGATAGCCAATACATTCTTAATCATAAAACAAAACAAGAGTTCTTTTCCATGTGTCTACAGGATCAGAGGCACAGCACCCGAGGCCACATAGTGTGCCCCTCCTTCTTGGAGTTTTATAAGGTTTTCAGATGTGTAAATGTCAAAATATAAGAGTAATAAAGTGGGTGGAGGAGATTAAATTCTTAGAACCAGCCAGGGCTGGTGTCAACCCACTGAGTGTCAAGGAAGCATGGGAGAACGTACATCACTCTCTGTCCTGCATTGATATATTTTCTTTTTCTTCTTACATTGTCTATGAACTAATGGTTTGTAAAGGTCCATTGAGAACATGGTAAATTACCAAAGTGAATGCAGAACAGGAATGGAAGAAAGACAGTTATCCAAACACAACAATGACTCATTTATTGTTCAGTGTGTGCTATGACCCATCAAACAAATGTAACAAGGCCTGCCCTCAATTGTTTCTTCATTCCTTTGAGAATTTATCTCACACTCCAAACAAGCCTAACACAGCATAAAGAAGTATTGACTTCATGTGCTTTACTATCTGCATAGTAACCCCATCCTACTTCTAGCCATTTCTTTCTTCCTTTCTTTCTTTCTTTCTTTCTTTCTTTCTTTCTTTCTTTCTTTCTTCCTTCTTCTCTTTCTTTCTTTCTTTCTTTCTTTCTTCCTTCCTTTCTTCCTTTAGTATGATATGCCATGGACATGGATCATTACTCTTTTTTTTCTGTGTTTTGTGGGTTCTTCTTTATTATTCTCTAATATCTAGGTTATATGAGCCTATCATTAGTTTACTGCATGGAATTTGGGGGGCTATCACATATTGGAACTGAAATGGAAATTATATATATCACTGATTTTCAACAATTGAATCATCTATATAAGTGCTATTGGGTAAAATCGTGTCATGGGTGCATTAAAACACAATCCTTCTAATTACCCCCATTGAATTGTGTCTATTTCTGAAAGAAGAAAGTCTTCTTGTCCAAGATCCTAGAGAGTTAACTGAAGAAAGTATCTCCAAATGCTCAAGAGATGAGAGGAATGCGTGTGAGCAAAGTTGCTAGTCAATGGAAAGGCAGAATCAAGAACAGCTTTGATACAACCATGATTTAATGAAGCTGGAAGAACAGAAATAGAAAGAGACACTTCTGCCAGGTGAGTTCTTTGGCCAGTGTGTGAACCATGAGTAGAGAGCACCTGGCTCCTAGTTCATCTGGACTTAGTGTAGCTTGTGATAGTCCATGAGATCTGACTTCGGAAATTGTGGGAAATTTGCATGGTAATTAATTGTTGTTAAAGCTGTTATTAAAATTTAAATTATATGACATTTCATTCACATAAACTATATTTAAAAGTCAATAAATACAGAAAACATAATCTACTGCTTTATTGCATTTTAGTATTAGATAACTAAAACATTGTATATATGATTATATATATGCAACATATGCTAAGTAACATATGAATATTGTTATTTTGTTTATGTTCTCAGGGTCTTTTATACCCATGCATGTGCTTAGCAGGAATAGTATATAAAGCAGAGTTACTGACCATGTCTGCTCAGTTCTTTATTCATTAGTATAATGCTGAAATCGGCCATTGTGGGAATATGTACAGCATCCAGTGTTTGTACCCAAAGAGTTAAACATTTGTCAGAACACCACTGAACGTTGAATTTCAAGCATTATTTATGCATAGAAACGTTGGGTTGGGGTATGTGTATACTACTTCTAGAAAATTCCCCTATGCCTTTATAAGATGACCCTGTTGACCAGTCCTGCTGATCCTAGAAAATACTGGGAATCTATGAAGGAAGGATGCTTCTCTTAAGCAGCCATGGGGAGAGTAGAAATGTTTTCAAGGTTCTTGGCAAAATGTAGCCATCTTCAGCAATTCCGTTCAGCTCTGCTACCTGTTAGCACTGCAGTAATTAAAAAAAGGTGCATCAAGCGTGCTTCTCTGCCCCAAAGAGCAAAAGCACCTCATTAATATTTAACAACACTTGCCGAAACTGGCTGCCTACAAGCTGTGGACTTCTTCATTAATTTCTGCTAAATGCATATTAAACTCTTTCACACTGTCCAGCCTTCCTCCCAGCTCATGAGTCTGCAGGATTTAAACAAACAAACAGCCTGTGTTCCAGCTTCCTGGGAAAAGGTGGGAGCTGATGAATTGTGAGATTTGACCAGAATATACCAGAAAGACTGATTTGCCTCAGGGAAGCATGCTGCCAGATTCTGCAGACACACAGGCAGTTCACTTTGAGACATAATTTACCCCTGTGTGGTGCTTGATTATAAAAGCAGTTGAAAGTCTACCTGTATCGGGAAAAATCTGTCCATTTCCAACAATATGCATATGGTCCAACACCCACCCCCATCCCCTCAAGGAAAAGCCTGAGACTAAGAAAGAGAAATGGCAATGACAGTTCAGAAATTGAAAACTGAATCTATGTGTGTGTGTGTGTGTGTGTGTGTGTGTGTGTGTGTGT